CCTGGGAGGCAACACACCAACCGCGAGTCTCTCTCGTTCCCACAGAATCTCCTATCTGTCCCCCTAACTATGGAGTCCCCAATGACTAACGCTGTCCTCCTCTCCCCCCTTTCCTTCTGAGCAACAGGGACAGACTCTGTGCCAGAGACCTGTACCCCATGGCTTACCCCTGGTAAGTCGTCCCCCCCCAACAGTATCCAAAACGGTATACTTGTTTTTGAGGGGAATGGCCACAGGGGATCCCTGCACTGTCTGCCTGTTCCCTTTCCGTCCCCTGACTGTAACCCATCTACTTTTATCCTGTACCTGAGGTGTGACTACCTCCCCGTAACTCCTCTCAATTACCCCCTCAGCCTCCCGAATGATCCGAAGTTCATCCAGCTCCAGCTCCAGTTCCCTCACACGGTTTCCGAGGAGCTGGAGTTGGGTGCACTTCCCGCAGATGAAGTCAGTGGGGACACTAGTGGTGACCCTTACCTCCCACATTCTACAGGAGGAGCATACAACTGCCCTGACATCCATTCCCACTGTTCTGAATTCCCAAACAGACAAATAAAAAAAAAACTAGTAGCCTTACCAAATCAGCGCTCAGAACCTTTTTTTTTTGTTAGAGGAGGAGGATGGGTGGGAGGCACTACCTAGGTAGTGTTTTGGGTAAAGCAACCGCCCAAATATATTACCTCACTTACTCCAAAAATGGAGTCACGCGAGGTAAGACTTTTATAATCGAAAAGCTCACCTTCCCAGGCTGCCCCCGCGCTTCCTCCCGGACTCCCGCCGCTGAAACAACTGAAAGGCCGCAGTCACGCGAGGTAAGACTTTTATAATCGAAAAGCTCACCTTCCCAGGCTGCCCTCGCGCTTCCTCCCGGACTCCCGCCGCTGAAACAACTGAATAGTCCCACCTCCCCCAGAACTGGCCCCAATGTCCCAAAGATCTGAACCCCTCCCTTCCTAGATGATGGATCTAATTGAAACTTGAGAATATTGAACTGCCTGCATAGAGTGGGTGTTGGGAAGATGTTTCCATTGGTCAGAGAGACTAGGACCCAAGGGCACAACCTTAGACTAAAGGGAAGACCCTTTAGAACGGAGATACGGAGAAACTTCTTCAGCCAGAAAGTGGTGAATCTATAGAATTCATTGCCGCAGAATGCTGCGAAAGTCAGGTCATTGTATGTATTTAAGACAGAGATGAGGTAGTCTCTTGGTTGTCAAGGGGATCAAGGTTTACAGGGAGAAAGCAGGAGAATGGGGTTAAGAACATAAGAACTAGGAGCAGGAGTAGGCCATCTGGCCCCTCGAGCCTGCCCCGCCATTTAATAAGATCATGGCTGATCTTTTTGAGACTCAGCTCCACTTACCCGGCCACTCACCATAACCCTTAATTCCTTTACTGTTCAAAAATTTATCTAGCCTTGCCTTAAAAACATTCAGCGAGGTAGCTTCAACCGCTTCACTGGGCAGGGAATTCCACAGATTCACGACCCTTTGGGTGAAGAAGTTCCTCCTGACCTCAGTCCTACATCTGCTTCCCTTTTATTTTGAGGCAATGCCCTCTCGTCCTAGTTTCACCTGCTAGCGGAAACAACCTCCCTGCCTCCACCTTATCTATTCCCTTCATAATCTATCAGATCTCCCCTCATTCTTCTGAATTCCAATGAGTATAATCATAGTCTACTCAGTTTCTCCTCATAATTCAACCCTCTCAACTTTGGAATCAACCGAGTGAATCTCCTGTGCACCCCCTCCAGTGCTAGTATATCTCTTCTCGGGTAAGGAGACCAAAACTGCACACAGTACTCCAGGTGTGGCCTTACCAGGACCCTATACAGCTGCAGCATAGCCTCCCTGTTTTTAAACTCCATCCCTCTAGCAATGGCAGACAAAATTACATTTGCCTTTTTAATTACCTGCTGCACCTACTTTTAGCGATTCATGCACAAGGACGCCCAAGTCCCTCTGCACAGCAGCGTGCTGCAATTTTTTACCATTTAAAGCATAGTCCATTTTCCTGTTATTCCTACCAGAATGCATGACCTCACACTTATCAACATTGTACTCCATCTGCCAGACCTTTGCCCAAACACTTAGACTATCTATATCCCTCTGCAGACTTTGTGTCTTCTGCACACTTTGCTCTACCACTCACCTCAGTGTCATCTGCAAATTTTGACACACCACACTTAGTCCCCAACTCCAAATCATCTATGTAAATTGTAAACAATTGAGGTCCCAACACTGATCCCTGAGGCACAGCACTAGCCACTGGCCACCAACCAGAAAAACACCCATTTACCCCTACTCTTTGCTTTCTCCTGGTCAACCAATCCTCTATCCATGCTAATACATTACCTGTAATACCATGGAACTTTATCTTATGTAGCAGCCTTTGGTGTGGCAACTTGTCAAATGCCTTCTGGAAATTCAGATACACCACATCCACAGGTTCCCTATTGTCCACCATGCAAGTAATGTCCTCAAAGAATTCCACCAAATTAGTTAAACATGACCTACCCTTCATGAACCCATGCTGGGTGTTTCCAATGGGACAATTTATATCCAGATGTCTTGCTATTTCTTCCTTAATGATAGATTCAAGCATTTTCCCCACTACCGAAGTTAAGCTAACTGGCCTATAGTTACCTGCTTTTTGTCTACTTCCTTTTTTAAACAGTGGCGTCACATTGGCTGTTTTCCAATCTGTGGGAACCACCCCAGAGTCCAGTGAATTTTGGTAAATAATGACTAGTGCATTTGCTATTTCCCCCATCCCCTCTTTTAGTACCCTGGGATGCATTTCATCAGGGCCAGGAGACTTGTCTACCTTTAGCCCCATTAGCTTGCCCAGCACTGCCTCCTTAGTGATAATGATAGTTTCTCGGTCCTCGCCTGCTACAACCTTCTTGCCGTTAGTTTTCGGCATGTTATTTGTGTCTTCCACTGTGAAGACCGACACGAAATAACTGTTTAATGTCTCGGCTATTTCCTTACTCCCAGTTATTGAATTGGCCTTCTCATCCTCTAAAGGACCAATGTTTACCTTTGCCACTCTTTTACGATTTACATATTTATAGACACTTTTGCTGCCTGTTTTTCTATTCTGAGCTAGTTTGCTCTCATAATCTATCTTACTTTTCTTTATAACTTTTTTTTGTGGCTTTCTGTTGGCCTTTAAAGATTTCCCAGTCTACTAGTTTCCCACTACTCCTTCGCTTTTTTGTATATGTTTTTTTTTCAATCTGATACTTTCCTTTATTTCCTTAGACATCCATGGCTGGCCCTCTCTTTTCCTACAGTTCTTCCTTATCACTGGAATATACTTCTGCTGAGCACTGTGAAAAATCATTTTGAAAGTCCTCCACTGTTCCTCAGTTGACCCACCGTAAAGTTTTTGCTCCCATTCTACCTTAGCTAACTCCTCCCTCATTCCTTCATAGTCTGCTTTGTTTAAGCACAGGACACAGGTACTGGATTTAACCTTCTCACGCTCCATCTGTATTTTAAATTCGATCATACTGTGATCGCTCCTTCTGAGAGGATCCCTAACTGTGAGATCATTAATTATTCCTGTCTCGTTACACAGGACTAGATCTAGGATAGCTTGCTCCCTCGTAGTTTCCATTACATATTGTTCAAGGAAATTATCGCGGATGCGTTCTATGAACTCCTCCTCAAGGCTGCCATGGCTGACCTGGTTTGACCAATTGATATGTAGATTAAAATCCCCCATGATAATTGCTGTACCATTTCTACATCCGTTAGCTATTTTCTATGTTTATTGCCTGCCCCACCACGATGTCATTATTTGGTGGCCTATAGACCACACCTATCAGTGACTTCTTCTCCCTACTATTCCTAATTTCCGCTCAAATGGATTCAGCGTTTTGTTCAGTAGAACCTATATCCTCTATCACTACTGCCCTGATATCATCCTTAAAAATCAGAGCAACACCGCCTCCCTTACCTTCCTGTCTGTCCTTCTGAACAGTTTGATATGCCTGGATATTTGACTCCTAGTCATGACCATCCTGTAACCTGTTAAGAAATGTATCAGCCATGATTGAATGGTAGAGCAGTTCCGATGGGCTGAATAGCCTAATTTCTACTCCTATGTCTTATGGTCTAATAGGAGGTCAGGATATCAAGTTTAGTGATTTTAGGTGTTGTGCAGACCTACACCCCACATCTGGTCCTGAAGAAGGGTAATAACCGCAACGTTGACTGCTCCTTTCCTGCAGATGCTGCTGACCAGCTGTGTTCTTCCAGCCTCCTGTTTGTCTGCCTGGGTTCCAGCATCTGCAGTTTTTTTGTCTCCAGGGAAATTGCATTAGCTGCTTTGTTTAGACCTTGGTGGGGTGGCTGTACAAACCAGTCCACAGTACAGAGGCTGAGAGTCCATTCATGAAATGTGATGTGGTGGAGCTGCCAAAACCTGTTGGTCAATTTTACATGAATACTGAGGGTATGTGATCTGAAAGAGTCTAGCAGAAGGAAAGTGAAATGTTGGTTGTTAAATGGAGTGTTTGTTGCATAGTTTGGGGACTGTCAGCTCAATTGATTGAATGGCTAGTTTGCAATGCAGAGTGATGCCACCATCACAGGTTCAATTACCACACTAACTGAGGTCACCATGAAGGTGACCAAACCCTTAACCTATTGCACCTTCTTGACCACTTCACTCACCTGAGGTATGGTGACCCTCGGGTTAAACCCGCCACTACTCTTTGCTCTGATAAGGCTGTTCTATAGTCCTGTGTGACTGTGGTGACTTTACCTTACTTTTTTTAATTTGATTTATTTATTGTCACATGTACTGAAGTATAGTGAAAAGCTTTGTTCACGAGCAGTACAGGCAGATCATAGTAAGCAAGGACGTACAGATTATAAGGTGGAAAAAAAAAACTTAGAAGCAGACAGATTATGTTGCACAGGGTGTGCGCTAGTTACATAGCTAAAAGCCAGTTTTGCCTTTGACTGATGTATACTTTATTCTTGCAGGTTGAATTTGGGAAACACTTGCTAGCAAGAGTTTTGTGTCTCATCTTCCTTCCTCTTGTTTTCTACACAGCATTGTTTGGAATTCACTTCTTAATCTTAAACAAAAGGTAAGTTGCTAACTTAAATTCTGTTTAACAGGTTGGATGCTTTTGTTTGAGGAAAGAACCTTTATGAAGAATTTTCCTCAAATCAGATGAAACCACGATCTAGAACCTGTGTTTTCCTACTTGGAGAATAGTTTCAGATCAGCCAAAGGGGATAAATGTTGCTCCAGTCAAGCAACATCAATTAATGTGTAGTAAGAGATAACACAGCAGGCCAAGCAGCATCAGAGGAGCAGGTAAGTTGACGTTTCAGGTCTGGACCCTTCTTCAGAAATGGGGGAGGGGGAGGGGAAGGGGATTCTAAAATAGAGAGAGAGGGGGAGGGGGAGGTGGATGGAAGATGGATAAAGGAGCAGATAGGTGGAGAGGAGACGGACAGGTTGAGGAGGCGGGAATGGAGCCAGTAAAGGGATGGGGGTTGGTTAGTCAAGGGAAGATGGACAGGTCAAGGAGCCGGCGATGAGGCTGGTAGGGAGGAGGTGGGGATGGGGGTTGAGGTGGGAGGAGCGTATAGGTGGAAGAAAAGACTGACAGGTCAGGGAGGCGGGGATGAGCTGGGCTGCTTTTAGGATGAGGTTGGGGGCGGGGAGATTTTGAAGCTTGTGAAGTCCACATTGATACCATTGGGCTGCAGGGTTCCCAAGCAAAATATGAGGTGCTGTTCCTGCGACCTTCGGGTGGCATCGTTTTGTCCCTGGAGGAGGCCCAGGATGGACATGTCGTCCAAGGAGTGGGAGGGGGAGTTGAAGTGGTTCGCGACTGGGAGATGCAGTCGTTTGTCGCGAACCGAGCGTAGGTGTTCCACAAATCGGTCTCCAAGCCTCTGCTTGGTTTCCCCGATGTAGAGGAGGCCACATCGGGAACAGCGGATACAGTATACCGTATTAGCAGATGTGCAGGTGAACATCTGTTTGATGTGGAAGGTTTTCTTGGGGCCTGGGATGGGGGTGAGGGGGTAGCTAAAGGATAAAAAGATCTCTTTCAAAGCCCCAGAAATCTCTTCTCTTACCTACTTCAGTATCTTGGGATAGATCCCATCAGGTCCCGAGAACGTATCTACCTTAATATTTTTTGAAGATAGCCAAAACCACCACCACCTTATTATCAACATACCCCAGAGCATGTGCAAACCCCTCTGTAAACTTAACATCATATACATATAAAATGCAGTGGGATTCTCCTTAAGCCTACTTGCCAAGGACATTTCATGGCCCCTTTTAACCCTCCTAATTCCTTGTTTAAGTTCTTTTCTGCTTTCTTTATAATCTTCAAGGGTCTTGTTTGATTTCTGTTTCCTAAACCATACATATGCTTCCTTCATCATTTTAACTAAATTTTCAACATCACTTGTTACCCAAAGTTGCCACATTCTGCCATCCTTATCTTTCATCCTTACAAGGGTGTGCCGGTCCTGAACACTGATCAACTGGCTTTTAAAAGACTCCTAGGTCAGATGTGGATTTACCTTCAAACAGCTGCACCCTCACCTCCCGCCCCCCCCCCCCGGCCCCCCCCAACCCCAATCTAATTTTCCTAGTTCCTGCTCAATAATATTGTAATTAACCTTCCCCAAGTTTTGTTCCTTCACCCCAGGACAACCCTTATCCTTTTCCATAACTATTTTAAAACTTGGAGAATTATATCACTGTTCCCCTGCTGAAACTTTGATCGCCTGATCAGGATACGTCCCCAGTACAAGATCTAATAAAACCCCTGCCCTAGTTGGACTATATATATTGTTTCAAGCTTAGAAAAAGTAGCAGTAAATAGGGTGAAAAGGGGAAAACGTGGTAAAAGAGCAAAATTAATGGCTCGTTATTTAAATGCATATAGTTTTAAAAAGAAAATTAATGAATTATCGGTACAAATCAAAATTAATGGGCATGATCTTATTGCAGTTACGTAGATGAGGCTACGAGGGATCAAAGCTGGGAACTCTTTGAAAGGACAGATAGGGAAGAAAAAGTTGTGGGGTAGATTTTTTTTTTCATGAGATGTGACATCTGAGAACAAATAATGATCCTGGATTGGAAAATGTAGAGTTTGTATTGGTGGAGGTAAGAAATAACAAGGGGAAGAAATCACTGCTGGGAATAGTTGATATGCGCCCCTAACAAGTATGAAACTGTTCAACAAAGAAAAAGATGAGATAATGATAGCATGATTTAAAAAAAAGCAATGTTCTTGAGCTGGGTTAGTCAGATTTGCATAGGTAGCCGTTTGGGGCATTTTCCTATAGGAATATGTTGTAGATTCAACCAGTGAAGAGGTTATTTTGGATCTGGTGTATGAAACAGAGGGGGGAGGTGATGGCTTAGTGGTATTGTCGCTGGACTGTTAATCCAGAGACCCAGATAACATTCTGAGGACCCGGATTTGAATCCCGCCACAGCAAATGGTGGAGTTTGCTTTCAATAAAATATCTGGAATAAAGGATCTAATGATGACCATGAATTCATTGTCGATTGTAGGGAAAACCCATCTGTTTCACTAATGTCATTTAGGGAAGGCAACTGCTATCCTTACCTGGTCTGGCCTAGATATGACTCCAGACCCACAGCAATGTGGTTGACTCTGAACTGCCAGCTGGGCAATTAGGGATAGGCACTAAATGCTGCCTAGTCAGAGATGACTCCATCCCGTTAATGAAAAAAAGAAAAAAGAATGCAGCAGGTTTAATAAATGAACTCAAAGTAAAATATCCCTGAGGAAGCATGACTATAATGTTAAGAATTTAGTATTCAGTTTGAGAGGGAGAAGCCACATTCAGAAAAAACTGTTCGAGGTTAAATAAGAGTAATTACATAGGGGTGAGGGCAGAGTTGGCCAGAGCAAATTTGGAAAGTTTAGCAGGGAAGACAGTTGATGAGCACTGCCACTTACTAAAGAAAATAGTTGCTGATCCTCAGCAAAGATATATCCCAGAAAGGAAGAAGGATTCTAGGAGGGGGTTAAACCAACCATGGTTAAACAAGGAAGTTGAGGATGGTGTGCAATTGAAGGAAAACAGATTGTGCAAAAATCATTGTAAAACTGGAGGATTGTCAAATTCTTAAAACGCAAAAGGTGACAATATAGTAATAGGAGAAAATGAACTTGACGGTGAGCTAGCAAGTAAAATGAGAAAAGGACAAGAGATTTTCTCTAAATATAAAAAAATACCGTAAGCTCCTGAGAAATGAGTCTGGAAATAGACAACCAGAAAATGGCAGGAGACTGAAATAATTTCTTTGCATCAATCTTGGGGCAAAATCCAGGGAGGAATTAAACGCTGAATAAGAACCATAAGAACTGCGAATGCTGTAAAACAGGAACAAAAGTAAAGTTGCTGGAAAAGCTCAGCAGGTCTGAAAAATCGGAGTTAACGTTTCAGGTCCGGTGACCCTCCAGGGTTCTGAGGAAGGGTCACCAGACCTGAAATGTAAACTCTGATTTTATCTTTACGGATGCTGCCTGACCTGCTGAGCTTTTCGAGGAAATAAACACAATAGGCAAGCAGAGAATTCAAGAAGATGGATTATAAAGTTCATGAGCACATTGATATAAAAAGCAAGCAAGTATTGGAGGTTTTGCTGGATTTAAAAGTGGGCAAATCCCCAGATCTGGATAGGTTGTGTCCAAGGGTATTATGGATGTCAAGGAGCCTGGACTAGGCATTTAAGGGGAGGTGCTGCCAGAGGACTGGAAGATAGCTAATGTGGTTCCACTTTACAAACAGGGTGGTAGACATAGACCACAGAATTGTAGACCATTGAGTCTAACCTCAGTGGTTATGAAACTATTGGAGAAAATAGGAAAGAAGACACGAAACTCCATTTAGAGAGGTAAGGTTTGATCAAGGACAGTCAGCATAAATTTCAGATGGAGGTTATACCTAACAAATCTGTGGAATTTTCTGAATCAGTGACCAGTTGTTTGGTTAGGTAGAGCAGTGATGCAGTTCATATGAATTTAAGCAAGGCCTTTGACAAGGTTCCATGTGGAAAACTGATAAGGAAGGTGTAAGCACATGAGATTCAGGGTAACTTGGCAAGACGGGCCCAAAATTAACTTAGTGATAGGAGACAGAGGGAGGTGGTAGAAGGCTGCTTGTGTGACTGGAACCCATTTTGCAGTGGCATATCACGTGGATCGGTGCTGGGTCCCTTTTATTGTGTTAATGTAGATAAATGATGTAGATGAGAATGTGGGAGATCATAAGTAAGTTTGCAGATGATACAAAGATTGGCAATGTGGTTGACAGTGAGGAGGAATGTGGAGGAGGAATTACATGAAGGTATAAACCGATCAGTGGCAGGTGGAATTTAGCCCTGGTAAATATGGAGTGATGTAAGGCACTAGGTAGTTAAGACGTGGGGGAAGCTTGCCTTTATCAGTTTTGGCATAGATTAGAAGAGCAGAAAGGTCATGTTGGAGCTGTACAGAAATTTGGTTAGGCCACAGCTGGAGTACTGTGTGCAGGTCTGGTCACCACACTCAAAGAATATGCTTGCACTGGAGGGATGCTGGGGAGATTCATCAGGATGGCCTGGGATGGAACATTTTGGCTGTGATGAAAGACTGGATCAGCCTGGATTTTTTTTTTCTTGGTGCGCAGAAGGTTGAAGGAGGATGTGACTGATGTGTATAAGATTATGATGGGCATGGTAAGGGTCATTCAGTTTTTAAAATTGAAACTAAATTCATTCACGGATGAAGGCATCACTGGCTAGGCCAGCATTTATTGCCCATCCCTAACTGCCCAGAGGCTAGTTAAGAAGCAATCACATTGCTGTCCGTCTAGAGTCACATGTAGGCCAGACCAAGTAAGGATGGCAGTTTCCCCGTCCGAAGGACATTAGTGAATGAGATGGGTTTTTACAACAACCAACAGTGGATTCATGGTCATTATTAGACCTTTAATTCCAAATTTTTATTGAATTCCAATTCCACCATTTGCCCGAGTGGGATTTGAACCCGGGTTCCCAGACATTACCTGGATCTCTGGATTAACAGTCTGGATATAATGCCACTAGGCCATCACCTCCCCATAATATTTAATATGCAGTCTATTCAACCAATTTGCCAATGTCCCAACACACTTCACTCAGACTTGACAGCATGACGCTAACCCCCACTACTGTTGCTTTGCTGTGGTGTCAATATTTACTTTGGATACTGCAAAGAAATCTCCAGTCAGAGCAATAGAACAATGTCTTAAGGATGATCTTCTGCAAAATTAAAGTTGCCGGTTTACATTATGACTGGGATATCAAAATCAGAATCTCTTCATCTGCCAAATGTGCCTGGAAATGACCACTTTGCCCTCCCCCAATGAGATGCTGTTTTGCAGAAAACAGAAAGCTGTACTTTTGTCATTATTTCTCACTTTCAAATAGCTAAGAAAGCAACCCAGATATGCTCACTTAAATGCAATAATGTTGTGATCAGGGAGGTAACATCTAGCTGAAGAAATGGTTATTGTAAATAAGGGGATTGAGGAAGATTAATATGATAGTGGATTGGCAGTGTCATAATAATAGAATTTGGCAAGCAGCTATCCTCTGGAGGGTTTGCCACTTCCTGGAGTCTGCCGCCTTGCATCAGTGAAACAAACAGATTGCTGGACATATTTGTGGAGAGGGAAATGGAATAAATGTTTCGAGTGCAGTATGACTTCTCGTTGCTCTTCTATTTATGGCTCGCTGAATCGGAAAGCTGGTAATGTGTACATGGGAAGTTGGGAATGAGTGTATTATATCCCAGTGAGGGTGATCCCCTCGGTCATCTTGAGAAATGAAGAAATTATATTATTGGAAAGCATTTTGTTCTATAATAAAATTAGTGCTGGTGTTGGCAGCTTTGACCTTTTTGTCCTTTTTTTTTTTGTTACAGTGGTCCCGGTGACGGATTTTTCAGCTCTGCATTTCAGTCTCGTCTGATTGGTAACAATTTGCACAATGCATCAATGCCAGAGCGTATGTATGTTTTCCTTAAATTCTAAGAGTTTCTGCCAAGTACTGAAATAAGCAGCTGAGCTGCATATAACTTTCCAACAGACCCTGTACAAATTATTAATTGAAGTTGTAAGCAGGAATTGGGAACCATTGTGCTGGAGGGGACTGGGAGGAGGTCTCTGATACTTTTGAATTCAAGTGTCACCATCAGCTATGGGGTGATTTGAATTCACGTTCCCAGATCATAATATGGGATCCTGGATTACCTGACATTACCACAATGCCACTGCCTCCCCCCGTGCTTAAAGTGTTCACGTTCCAAGTATTATGATCTTAGTTATTACTAAATTATATTCCCAGTTATGAGAATAAAGATAATCTTTTAAAGAAAAAAAATAGAAGAGAAAATGCTAGAAAAAAAATAAAGAGAAAATGCTTGTACAGACTTGAACAAATCAATCATACGTGCTAATGACTAAATAAGTACAGTAAACAGATGAGATAATGATTTGTAAATCATATACACTGTATGTACAATTGAGACTAATATTTGGAATCAGTGGGATGTAAATAACAGACAAACAGACAAATGCGTCACAAACTGCGTCCTGAAGGCCTGATACAGTCAAGATAGATTCCACTCGGATGTTAGTAATACTGTGGGTCAACTTATTCTTTTTTGCAAGGGATTCCAATACTTCATTAGAAATATTTAGCTTTGAAGTGCCTTCAAAGTCTCTCTGCTGAAGCATATGTGTTGGTAATTTAATCTCTTGTCCAGAATCTAAATTTTCCAGGATCCCCAAGTTTAAGTACTGAATAATTTTGGCTTTTATCAAAGCTTCACTTAAGCTCTGTGGGAGCTTCAGTCCTTCTCAGTTGCATTGAGAAGATATTGCTTGAGAGCTTCCTTCACCCAGTTACAACAATACCCAACTATTGATGGCTCTCAGGGTTCTGAGCCCATGGCATGGTGTCACCAAACACTGAGACTTCACCTGAGCCCTAACACCAGCACTTCTACCTGGCTGGAACCATTTATTTTCCTTCAACATTTTCCCAACTCGAATTTCAACTAACTTTTGTCACAGAAGAAAGGATAAATAAGTTAGCTATTTTCCAGTCTAAAGGAACCTTCCCTGAATCTAATGAAATTTGGAAAATTAAAACTGTCTCCTTGATGTCTAGCATTTTTAATTTTACCTCCATGGTCCTGCCATTTAGAATCCAAATTAGTTTTGCCTATCCACAACTTCTTGTTCCTTATTTAATTTAAATACTTATCAGCTCCGTAGAAAAATTCCTTTAGTTCTAAGTACCTTATGTTTCAATCTTGAGTATTAACGTGCCCTTGTTCTAGACCTTCAGTAACTGGGAGCTGCCTGCTTCTCTGTCTCATCCTTTTAATGGCTTTATTCATTTGTACTCTGTTGTCGTGTGATGTGTTCTAGGAAGAACAGTGTTGATTTTTCAATCTGATATTTCTTTTTGAATCATCCTGGTTTTGACTAAAATTAACTAGGTTGTACTCGAGCATTGTGGAAAAATAAATTGTTGAAGCTTTTCATCTTCATTCATTAACTCTAAATTCTTGGGAACATCCCATTGAGTCATACAGCATGGGAACAGGCCCTTTGACCCAACCTGTTCATTCTGACCAGGTTTCTCAAACTGAACAAGTACCATTTGCCTGCTTTTAGAACATAGAACAGTACAGCACAGTACAGGCCCTTCGGCCCACGATGTTGTGCTGAACTTTTACCAGAAACCTAAGGTCTATCTAACCTCCACCGCTACCTTATACTATCATCAAATAGTATATCGCCTATATCCCTCTAAGCCTTTCCTATCTGTCTACCTGTCCAAATGTCTTTTAAGTATTGTAATTGTACTTACCTCTACCACTTCCTCTGGCAGCTCATTCCGTATAAGCACAACCCTTTGTGTGAAAAACAGTGCTCCTCAAGTCCCTTTTAAATTTTGGTAGATGTGTTGCTATGGATAATGCGCCATTTTAAATGATCACTGACTAACCATGACCAAATTTTACCAAAATTTAGGGTTCAAAAGAAATAAGAGCAGGATTAAAGTCATATTGTTCAATCAGGGAGACCTAGGTGTTCAGGGGCGGCACGGTGGCATAGTGGTTAGCACTGCTGCCTCACAGTGCCAGGGACCCAGGTTCAATTCCACCCTCAGGTGAGTGTCTGTGTTGAGTTTGCACATTCTCCCCGTGTCTGCGTGGGTTTCCTCCGGGTGCTTCGGTTTCCCCCCACAGTCCAAAGATGTGCAGGTTAGGTGGATTGGCCATGCTAAATTGCCTGTAGTGTTCAGGGAGGTGTAGATTAGATGGGTTATAGGGGGATGGGTCTGGGTGGGATGCTCCGAGGTTCAGTGTGGACTTGTTGGGCCGAAGGGCCTGTTTCCACACTGTAGGGATTCTATGAATTGAAAAAAAAGGTGCTTAGTTCCTTGAAGGGGCATCACAGGTAAACAGGGTGGTGATGACGTTTTGGATTGCTTGCCTTTATTGGTCAGAGCATTGACTGTGGGAGTTGCAATGTCATGTTGCGGCTGTACAAGTTAGGCCACTTTTGGAGTACTGCTTACAGTTCTGGTCACCCTGCTATGGGAAGGATGTTAATAAATTGGAAAGGGTACTGAGAAGATTTACAAAGATGTTGCCAGGACTGGGGGTTTTGAGTTATAAGGAATGGCTGAATGGGCTGGGACTTTTGTCACTGGAGTGACAAATGCTGAGATGTGACCTTTATTGAGGTCTATAAAATCATGAGGGGCATAGATACGGTGAATAGCAAAGACCTCTGTTTAGTGCTCACTATGTTACTGGCATCATTTTTACTCCCTTGGTGTTTTCTGGTTATTTTGTCCTAGGCTTGACAGTGGTTCTTTTTTGCTACAGATATTGCTTATGGATCAGTGATTACAATAAAGAATGTACGGACTGCAGGTGGGTACCTGCATTCCCACTGGCATCTGTATCCAGAAGGTGTTGGAGCACGACAGCAGCAGGTTTGTTGGACTGGTACTGCAATGATGTGGTAAATCCCAACCACACCTGAAAATCAGGGGTCAAGAAAAATAATGTTGTAATAACTAGGGAAGTTGTGCTGGGCAAACTAGTGGAGCTGCAGATTAAGTGCTCAAGTTCTGGTGGATTTCATCCAAGGATCTTAGATGTGGTTAATAAGCTAGAAGATGCATTAATTTTCCAAAATTCAGTAGATTCTGGAAAAATGTTATCAAATTGGAAACTAGCAAATATAATTCCTCCATTCAAAAATAGGAGACTATAGGCCAGATAGCTTGATGTCTATCTTGGGAAAGGTGCTGAAATCAATCATTAAGGACGTCACAACTGGGCACTCAAAAAACTCAAGGAAATTGGGAAGAATTAGCATGGTTTTGTAAAAAGGAAATCATGGTTAACCAATTTATTAGAGCTCTTTGAAAGAGCAACATGCTGTCGATAAAGAGGAGCCCCTGTATTTAAATTCCCAGAAGGCATTTGACAAAGTTCCACAAAGATTATAGGTCAAAGTTGGAGATCATTGGTATGGGGGTAATCGAAGATTGGCTGGCAGAAAACAGAATTTGCATGAATGGGTCTTTTTCAGACTTTAGGTTGTGATGAACGGGAATCCGTAGGGGTCTGTAGTAGGTTAAATGGTCTACGTCTGCTCCTATTTAGTATATGGTCATGTAACTAGATGTCTCACACAATAAAGTTTTGTCAGCTTTCTGCTTTTTTTTTCAGGTGACAGCCTATTTACACAAAGACAACAACAACCTTTGGATTGTCAGGAAACCTGAACACACCTCAGGTCAGTGTTGTTCAATTTTTCTTAGTCATTTTCAGACTCTCTTCTGAGTTATGCCCCTTCTCTAAATTATGCACCAAACTGGAGATGAGCTTTTTTCAGAAGATGAAGGGTGTGAGGAGTTGGTGATGTAGTTAAATGACTACTTTCATGTTTATAGGAATATTGTGATTTTCATACTGAGGCTCATTGCAACTGATGATTCAGTAGGAGAATGTAGTTTCATCCCCTGTTCAGGTTTTTAGAAGTTTCTGATATAGTCATTCATTCAGATCAGTCATCTTTGTTTACATGGCTATGATAAATGCCAGATTGAATACAGGAGCAAGGAGTTCTTACTGCAGCTGTACAGGGCCTTGGTGAGAGTGCACCTGGTGTACTACATGCAGTTTTGGACTAATTGCCTAAGAAAAGATATACTTGCCATTAGGGGTAGTGCAGTGAATTCACCAGACAGGGTTACTGGGATGGCAAGCTTGTTCTATGAGGAGAGATGAGGTCAGCAGGAACATGGGAACATAGGAAGAAGCTGTTAAGCCTGTCCTGCCATTCAGTATGATCAAAGTGGCTCAAAAACTTTAAAACCTTTTACTCACCCAACCCCATAACCCTGTGCCACTGATAATCATAAATCCATCAGTCTTTTACCATAAACATACTCATAGACTGAGCACCCATAACGTTCTGTGGGAGAGAATGCCAAAGGTTCACATCCCTCTGTATAATAAAAAATTGTCCTAATCTTGGACTAAAGTCGCATCTCCCTTATTATGGCTCTGGATACCCTAACCAATGTAGCTGTTTCTCCCTTTAAGTATTTTGTAAGTTTCAGTGAGATCACCTCCCATTATTAGAAATGGGCGGCTCAGTGGTTAGCACTCTGCCTCACAGCGCCAGGGACCCAGGTTCAATTCCACCCTCAGGCAACTGTCTGTGTGCAGTTTGCACATTCTCCCCGTGTCTGCATAGGTTTCCGCCAGGTACTCCAGTTTTGTCCTGCAGTCCAAAGATGTGAAGGCTAAGTGAATTGGCTGTGCTAAATTGCCAATAGTGTTCATGGATGTGTAGGTTAAGTGTGTTGGCAACGGGGAATGTGGGGTTACAGGGAAAGCATAAGTTCTGGGTGGGATGCTGTTCAGAGGAAGGGTGTGGACTTGTTGGGCTGAATGGCCTGTTTTTACACTGTAGGGATTCTATGATTCTATTAATACAAGCGCAGTTTGCCAAATCTGTCTCCACTGGGCATGTGTTCACTGGTGTTTAGAAGAATGAGGAAATCTCATTGAAACATAAAATTCCAATGGGGCTTCAGAGACTGATGCAGGAATGTTTTCCTGCCGGGGAGTTGAGAACAACTGGTCACGGGAAATAAAAACTGAAAGAACTTCAGATGCTATAAATCAGAAACAAAAATGAGAGGAAATTTCATAGAGACTTATAAAATTCTAACAGGATTGGACAGGGTGGATCCAGGGAAGATGTTCCCAACGGTGGGTGTGTCCAGAACCAGGGGTCACAATATGAGGATTCGGGGTGGACGACTTAGGACCGAGATGAGGAGACATTTCTTCACCGTTCTTCACCACCCTTCTTCAAGAGTGGTGAGCCTGTGGAGTTCATTACCACCAGGGGTAGTTGATGCCAAAACATTGAATGTATTCAAGAGGCGACAAGATGTAGCACTTGGGGTGAATGGGATCCAAGGTTAGGGGGAGAAAGCTGGATTAGACTATTTAGTTGGATGATCAGCCATGATTGTGGAGAATGGCAGAGTAGGCTTAAAGGGCTGAATGGCCGCCTCCTGCTCCTATCTTCTATGTTTCTATGTTAATAGAGATTCCTGGAAAAGCTCAGCAGGTCTGGCAGCACCTGCAAAGAGAAATCAGAGTTAATGTTTCGGTTCAAATCTGAGAAAGGGTCACTGGAACCGAAAAGTTAATTCTGATTTTTCTTCACAGATGCTGCCAGACCTGCTGAGCTTTTCCAGCAATCTCTATTTTTGACACAGGAAATGCCTTCTCTTGGAAGGGAGTGAACCTGTGAAATTCTGTACTACAGAATGCTGTAGAGGCAGAATCACTGAATGAGTTTTAGAAAGAAATAGATCTCTAGAGGCTAAGGTCCTCAATGGGGATAAGGAGAGAGCCAAAGCCTGGTGTTGAGATAGAGAAACAGCTGTTATCATGTCGTATGGTGGAGCTGGTTCGATTAGCTAAATGGCCTATTTTTATTTTTTGATGAGTCCTTGAATCATATTTATCTGTACATTAGCCCTTGTCTCTGTTAATATTTGAAAGGTGAAGATGGCGGTGAATATAAGCATATGAAGTAGTATCCAATAAAAGGAAATCTGACATAAAAACCACGTGCTGGAGAAACGCAACAGGTCTGGCAGCATTTGTGGAGAGAGGAACAGAGTTAATATTTCCATGGCAGTGTGACTCTTCAGAACAATATCCTAACTGGTTTTTGAAGTAATCTTTCAGAGAGAGCAAATTGTTTGATTCATTCTTCATTCTGATGGCTTTCACAGATACAGATGACATTGCTCAACATGTTCGTCATGGTGATGTCTTCAAGCTTGAGCACAAAGAGTAAGCCTGGGAAATGGGTTCAACTTCAGTTTTTCAGATTAATAACAATAAGGTCCCTTCTGCAGGCTAATGTTTTTCTGTGTTTTGGTTGATAGGACATCTCGGAATATGCACAGTCATCATCATGAGGCACCACTGACAAAGAAACATTACCAGGTCACAGGATATGGAATAGTAAGGGATCTTCAAGGATTGGCTTGGCTTGAGGGAGATTTCATTTTTGGAAAATCCAAGTACTTTTAAAAGAAAACACTTGAACTGTTGGAATATGCTGCAAACAATTTGCCCACCTGGGGCCATGATATTGTGGAAGAATTAAATAATAAACATCTTCCCAGAGTTTTAAAATATATAAGGCTAAGAGCAGAAGTATTTTGTACAGAGGAGATAACAAGGTGTAGAGCTGGATGAACACAGTAGGCCGAGCAGGAGAACTGACGTTTCGGGTCTGGACCCTTCTTTAGAAAAATAAATCTTCTGAAGAAGGGCCCAGACCCGAAACGTCAGCTTTCCTGCTCCTCTGATGCTATTTGGCCTGCTGTGTTTGTCCAGCTCTACACCTTGTTATCTCAGATTCTACAGCATCGGCAGTTTCTACGATCTCTGCACTTGAAGGAGGCAAGTTAGTGACTTTGTACGACCCCATGATACATGTCTGCATAGTTAGGAAATTTTATACAAGTTAAGACCTAGTCGACTATCTCATGATAACTGCATAGCTAATCTCAACTAGTTGACCGCCTCCCCACAACCCTCTCGATCAGATCTGAATATAGAAATATGGAAACGTAGAAAATAAATCAAGTGTGACCCTTGTCAAGGGCGACACCCATGTTCTGCAAGTAAATAAAAAGAAAGGCCATTCAGCACTACATGCCTGCTCAGTCATTCAATATGAATGTGTAGTTCATCAACTCCATACTTTTTCCTGCTTTCTCTACATATCCTTTGATCCTTTTAGACGTAAAAGCAATATCTCCTTCATGAAAGCATTCAGTGCTTTGGTCTCAACTGCTTTATGTGGCAGATAATTCTATAGGTTCACACTCACTGGATACCAAAATTTCTCCTCATCGAGTCAGAGTCATGGAGTAATACAGCATGGCCCTTCGGCCCAAACCGATCCATGCTGACCATGGTGCCCACTCAGCTTGTTCAAATTGCTGGCATTTGGTTCATTTCCATCTCAACCCTTCCCATCCATGTACTTATGTAAATGTTGCTATTGTACCTGTCTCAGCCACTTCCTGTCAGCTCATCCCATATATGCACCACTCTCTGTGTGAAGAAGTTGCCCCTCAGGCCTTGCTTCAGTCTTTGCCCTCTCACCTTAAACCGATGTCTTCTAGTTTTTAATTGTCCATCCCTGGAAAAAGACCATATGCATTCATGCTATCTATAGTAAGAAAGTAGTAAGGAGGCATGGGATATGGGGAAATGTGGCAGATTGGATTCAGAATTGGCTGACCCTTAGAAGACAAAGGGTGGTAGTGGACGGAAAATATTCAAAATGGTGCTCAGTTACGAGCGGTGTACCACAAGGATCTATTCTGGGTCCTCTTCTATTTGTGATTTTTTGTAAATGATTTGGATAAAGGAGTGGAAGGGTGGATTAGTAAGTTCGCGCACAATACGAAGGTGGGTCGAGTTGTGGATAGTGCGGAGGGCTGTTCCAGGTTACAAAGGGACATTGATAGGATGCACAGCTGGGCTGAGAAGTGGCAGATGGAGTTTAACCCTGAAATGTCTGAGGTGATTCATTTTGGAAGGACAAATTTGAAAGCAGAATACAAGGTTAATGGAAAGATTTTTGGCAGTGTGGAGGAGCAGAGGGATCTTGGGGTTCATGTCCATAGTTCCCTGAAAGCTGCCACCCAGGTGGATAGGGTTGTTAAGAAGGCATATGGTGTGTTAGCTTTCGTTAGTAGAGAGATTGAGCTCAAGAGCCGTGAAGTTATGCTCCAGCTATACAAAAGCCTGGTTCGGCCACATCTGGAGCATTGTGTCCAGTTCTGGTCACCTCATTACCGGAAAGATGTGGAAGTGTTGGAAAAGGTGCAGAGGAGATTTACCAGGATGTTGTCTGGAATGGAGGGAAGGTCTTACGAGGACAGGTTGAGAGAGCTAGGGCTTTTCTCTTTAGAATAACAAAGGATGAGAGGTGACTTGATAGAGGTGTACAAATGATCAAAGGTATTGATACAGTGAACAGCCACAGACTTTTTCCTAGGATGGAGGTAGCTACTACGAGGGGGCATAGTTTTAAACTGAGTGGAGATAGATATAAGGGAGACATCGGAGGTAGGTTCTATACTCCGAGAGTGGTAGGGGCGTGGAATGCATTGCCGGAGCAGGTAGTGGAGTCGGCCTCATTGGGGCATTTAAGCGGCTATTAGATAGGCACATGGATGATAGTATAAGGTAGGGGCGGAGGTTAGATAGACCTTAAGTTTAGGGTAAAAGTTCGGCACAACATCGTGGGCTGAAGGGCCGGTACTGTGATGTTTTGCTCTATGTTCTATGTTCTATATTCCTCATGATTTTACACACCTCGATAAGGTCACCCCTCATTCTCCTACATTCCAAGGAATAAAGTCCTATCCTGGCCAACCTCTCCCTGTAACTCGGGCATACTAGTCCTGGCAACATCTTCATAAATCTTCTTTGCACACTGTTCAGTGTAACTATGTCTTTCCTATAACAGGGTGACCAAAACTGTACACAGTACGCCACGTGTGGCCTCACCAACGACTTGTACAATTATAACATTACATCCCAACTCCTGTACTCAGTGCCTCAACCAATGAAGGCCAGCATGCTAAATGCCTTCTTCACCTCCCTGTCCACCTGTGATGCTGCTTTCAACAAGCTCTCTACTGGTAGTCCTAGGTCCTAAGTGGCCTACCCTGAATTCTTAGACTTTGACTCCTGGTTCTGGACTCCTGCGGAACATCTTTCCTGCATTTCCCTGTCTTGTCCTGTTAGAGTTTTATAGGTTTCTATGAGATTCATTCTTGTAAACTCCATTAAATACAATGCTAATGGATGATCTCATCTCAGTCTCCACTCCACTTTCCTGCTTGCTCTCCATAACTCTTTTTAACCTATTGCTAGTTAAAAATCTGTCTATCTCCTCAAATTTACTCCATGCCCTGGTGTCTGCTGCATTCAGAGGTTCCTTCTCATCTCTGCTTTACATCTGCCACCTCTTTGTCCCACAAGGTGAAACATCATTTCTATCTCTACTTTGTCAATCCCCTTTAGCATCTTGGATACCTCCAATTAGATCTCGTCGTAACCTTCAAAACTGTAGCGAGTACAGGTCTAAACTATTCAATCTCCTCATGAGGCAAGCTTTTTATCCCCAGAATTAATTTAATGAAGCCTGCAATCACATTGCTCCTTGGGTGAGGGAATCCAACTGTGCACAGCACTCCAAATGTGGTCTCACCAATGCATTGGACAATTGCAACAACACTTAACTACTTTTATACTCTGTCACTGCTTTTGACAATAAATGCCAAAATTCCATTTTCCCTCTGTATTACCTGCATACTAGCTTTCTCTAATTCCTCCATGCAGACACTCAGATCTCTCTGCACCGAAGCACTCTGATTCTCTCCATTTATAAAGTAAGTTGCCTTTCTATTCCTCCAAACAAAATAGACAACCTCACACTTATCCACCTTAAGCTCCACTGTAAATGTTTGGCCCATTCAACTAACCTATTCATATTCAATTGTAAGTTTTAGTTTCGTAGGTGCAACTTACATTCCCACCTATTTTAGTAGGTGAGATTATCTGCCCTCCTTGCCATTCAGCTGTTGATCCAACTTGACAACAACCCCTGACCTGACTGCTGACTGACAACCTGAACAAAATGCGTTTCCCCTACAACTCCCTACTCAGCCATACCTCTGTATCTGTCTCACTTGTCTACTCATTCAGTCACTCACCTGTTCACCTGAATACCAGCTTGCTTTGACAGTCATTGCAGCTGGATAGAAGCTCTGGTCCAATGTTTCACTAAACACCTGCTCAGTCTGGGAAGACTGTTGTAGTAGGTAATGTTGATTTGATTCTAAAGCAAATTTGGGTTTTTTTTTCTTTCAAAAAAATATTTTGAGACACATTATCCCTAACTATAACCCTAAGATGTGTCATTGGAATGTAGGAGCAGGTGATTCCAGCTGTCTTTCACTGGGCATTCCTTGTGTGAGCTGTTGAGGCTGGATCATTAAGTATATTCAAGGCTGAGAGAGATTTTTAATCAGGAAGGGAATTGAGCTTTAAGGGGAAAAGGCAGGAAAGTAGAGCTGCGGACGATCAAATCAACTACAATCTCATTGAATGGTGGAGTGGACTTGATTAGCTGAGTGGCCTCTTTCTCTAGCATCTTACGGTCTATAATGATCTTATGGTGTTTGGTTGTTGAACCATTAATAGAGACTGATTATCTTTCATTATTGTTATATCATGCAACTTCCAGGTGGTAGAAAGTGAACTAAAATGAACATGGTTCTCTTTTTGTAGTATTGTAGTGGTGTATAGGATAAGGAAATAACTGCAGTGATAAAGTTGAGTTCTGCTCCTGATAGTTGAATGCTGCTGTATTTATTTGCAGAATGGAACTGGAGATTCAAATGACTTCTGGAGAATTGAGGTGGTTGGGGGACAGAATGGGGACCTGATTAAAGTTCTAAGAAGTAAAATTCGATTAATCCATGTGGCAACTGGCTGTGTCTTGTATTCCTCTGGGAAAACCTTGCCCAAGTGGTGAGTATTGTTTGTTGATTCAAGTAAGTGAACCATTAGCTTTTGATTTTATGAAATCACAGAAATGTTATGGTGCAGAAGGAGGCCATTCAGCCCATTGTTTCTCACTGGCTAGTTAAATGAGCATTGTTACCTGAAGCCAATATCATGCTTGTTCCCCATACCCTTGAACATGATTTTTATCCAAAAATCGACCTATTCCCTCTTGATTGCCTCGGTTGAGTACTGTGCTGTGCTGTACTGTTCTATGTTATGAGGACAGCCTGGATAGGCTGTGTTTGTTTTCCTTGAAGCAGAGGCGACTGAGGTGGGATCTGCTTGAAGTATACAGATTTATGAGAGGCATAGACAATAGATTGTGAGAATCTCCTCCCTGTGACAGACATGTCGAAGAACAGAAGGCACAAGTTTAAGGTGAGGAGCCAGTGGTTTGGAGCAGACTTGAGGATAAAAATTTCACCCAGAGGCTGGTAAATATATGGAACATGCTGCCTCAGAGGCTGGTGGAGGCAAGTACTCTCTCTCAACCTTTAAGAAGCAACTGGATGAGCACCCAAAATGCCAGGACAATGAACCGAGGGCAGGTAAATTGGATCAGTGGTGTTTGGTATTTGTTGGTGGGCATAGACGTGGTGGGTCAAAAGGCCCATTTCCATTTTGTTATTTGGAGTTCCCTTAATTTGTTATTTTCCCATATTCAAAAAGGGAAGTAGAGAGAAAATAGGGTATTATAGACCAGTAAGTGGCACGGTGGCTCAGTGGTTAGCACTGCTGCCTCACAACGCTAGGGACCTGGGATCGATTCCACCCTCTGGCAACTGTCTGTGTGGAGTTTGCACGTTCTCCCCATGTCTGTGTGGGGGTGCTCCGGTTTCGTCCCACAGCCCAAAGATGTGCAGACTAGGTTGATTGACCATGCTAAATTGCCCATAGTGTTCATGGATGTGTAGATTAGAGGGATGGGTCTGGGTGGGATGCGCTGAGTGTCGCTGTGGACTTGTTGGGCCGAAGGGCCTGATTCCACACTGTACGGATTCTATGATTCTAACATCAGTAGTAGGGAAAATTCTCAAATTCATTATCAAGGAGTTTATAGCGGAGCATTTAGAAAGCAGTGGCAGGATCAGATAGAGTCAGCACAGATTTATGAAGGGGAAATCATGCTTGACAAATCAGTTGGAATTCTACGACGATGTAACTAGTAGTGTTGACAAGGAGGAGCCAGTTGATGTGGTATGTTTGGACTTTCAAAAGCAGTTCTCGAAGTCCCGCATAAGTGATTATTGTGAAAGATTAAAGTGTATGGGATTGGGGTAAGTGTATTGAGGTGGATAGAAAACTGGTTGGCAGAGAGAAAACAAAGAGTAGTAATTAATGGATCCTTTTCAAATTGGCAGGCAGTAACTAGTGGGGTTCCACAGGGATTGGTGCTGGGACCCCAGCTATTCACAATATATATTAATAATTTGGATGAGCGAACAAAATGTGACGTCTCCAAGTTTGCTGATGATACCAAATTCTGTGGGAAGGTGATCTGTGACGAGGATGCAGAGATCCTTCAGCATGTACTGGACGGCTTGGGTGAGTGGGTAAATCAATGGCAGATGCAGTATAATTTGGATAAATGTGAGATTATTCACTTTGGAAGCAAAAACAAGAAGGCAGATTACTACCTGAATGAGTACTACTCCACTGTTTGTGTCTCCTTAGATATTGAAGCAGTCCATATTTTAATGGAACAAGATCTGGACCATTTCCAGGCTTGGGCTGGCAAGTTTTTATTTTTTATTTATTTAGCCATTCATGGGATAAGGGTGTCGCTGGCTAGATCAGCATTTATTGCCCATCCCTAATTGCCGAGAGGGAAGTTAAGAGTCAACCACGTTGCTGTGGGTCTGGAGTCACATGTAGGCCACACCAGGTAAGGATGGTGCTTTCACTCCCTGAAGGACATTAGTGAACCAGATAGGTTTTTCCTGACAATCGACAATGGATTCATGGTTTATCATTAGACTCTTGATTCCACACTTTTTTATTGAATTCAAATTCCACCATCTGCCGTGGCCGAATTTGAACCTGGGTTCGAACATTAACTGGGTTTCTAGATTCACAATCCAGTGTTAATTCCATTAGGCTATCACCTCCCCTGGCAAGTGACAGGTAACATTCGCGCCACGTATCTGATCGTGAAGTTTGCTAGCCGTGTCTTTCAGAAATACAAATTGGATAATCTAACATTTTTCCCACACTGGTATGACTGAACTTCATCTGCATTAACTGTGCCCACTCATTCTTTTTAATTCATTTGTGGCACTTCAGCATCGCTGGCTGGCCAGCATTTATTGCCATCCATGATTGCCCTTGAGAAGGTGGTGGTGATCTGCCTTGAACCACTGCAGTCCACCTGCTGTAGGTTGACCCATAATGCCCTTGGGGATTTCCAGGATTTTGACCCAGAGACACTGTTGTAGATAGTACACACTGCTGTTACTGATCATAGGTAAATGGTTAATGGTAACCCCCAGAATGTTGATAGTGTGGGACCAAGTGATGGTAATACCATTAAATATCAAAGGGCAATGGTTAGATTGTCTTTCATTGGTGAAGGTCATAGCATGGCATTTGTGTGATGCACATGTTACTTACTACTTGTCAGCCCCAAGCCAGGATATTGTCCAGATCTGGCAGCATCTCTGAAGAAAAACTCAGTTAATGTTTCGGGTCCGGTAACCCTTCCTCACTGAACCTGAAACATTAGCTCTGAGCTTTTCTTCACAGATGTTGCCAGACCTGCTGAGTTTATCCAGCAACTTCTGTTTTTGCCCCTGACTTATGGCATCTGCAGTTCTTTCGGTTTTTATTGTCCGGATCTTGTTGCATTTGAGCATGGGCTGCTTCAGTATCTGAGTAGTCGAGAATGGTGCTGAACATCCCCACTTCTGACTTGACGATGGTGTAAAGGTCATTGATGAAACAGGACACTACCATGAGGAACTCCTGCAGAGATGTTCTGGGGCTGAGATGATTGACCTCAACTACCACAGCCATCTTCCTATGTGCCAGGTATGACTCCAACCACCGGAGAGATTGCCCTTGATATCCATTGATTCAAGTTTTACTAAGGCTGCTTGATGCTGAGTTGAATGTGCCTTGATGTCAAGAGCTGTCACACTCATTTCACCTCTGGAATTCAGATCATTTGTCCACACTTGAACCAAGGCTGTAATGAGGTCAGGAGCTGAATAGCCCTGCTGGAACCTAAACTGGGCATCGCTGAGCAGGCTATTGCTGAGCAGGTACTGCTTGATGACATCTTCCATCACTTTACTGATTAAGAATAGATTGATGGGGCGGGAATTGGCCGAGTTGGATTTATGATAACACAGTGTGGAGCTGGAGGAGCACAGCGGGCCAGGCAGGATCAGAGAAGCAGGAAAGTTGACGTTTTGGGTTGGGACCCTTCTTCAGAAAATTTTCCAGCTCCACACTGTGTTGTCTCTGACTCCAGCATCGGCGGTTCTTACTATCTGTGTTGGATTTGTCTTGCTTTTTGTGTACAGGACAAACCTGGGCAATTTTCCATTTTGTCGGGTGGATGCCAGTGTTGTAACTGTACTGGGACAGCTTGAGTCCGGGAACAGCAAATTCTGGAGCACAATTTATTAGTACTATTGCTGGAATGTTGTCAGGGCCGATCTCCTTTACAATATCCAGTGCCTCCAGCTGTTTTTTAATATCGCAGGGAGTGAGTCAAAGTGGCTGCAGTTTGGTACCCCTGATGCTGGGGACCGCTGGAGAAGACAGAAATGGATCATCCACTTCCCACTTCTGAGTGAGGATTGCTGTCAGTGCTTCAGCCTTATCTTTTGCACTGATGTGCTGGGCTCTTCTAACATTGAGGATGAGGTGATCTGTGGAGCCGCCTCCTCCTCCTCCATCGCCATCGCCATCGCCGTCGCCATCAGGAGGCAATGGCCGGGTGGTCGTATTGCCGGACCGTTAATCCGGAGACCCAGATAATGTTCCGGGGATCTGGCTTCGAATCCCACCACGGCAGACGGTGGAGCTTGAATGCAATAAATATCCGGAATGAAGAATCTAATGATGATCATGAATCCATTGTCGGAAAGACCCACCTAGTTCACTAATGTCCTTCAGGGAAGGAAACTGCCATCCTTACCTGGTCTGGCCTACATGTGACTCCAGACCCACAGCCATGTGGTTGCCTCTTAACTGCCCTCTGGGCAATTGGGGATGGGCAGTAAATGCTGCCTAGCCAGCGACACCCTCATCCCGTTAATAAATAGAAAGCAAAAACCATTCACACCTGGATATGGCAGGACTGCAGAGCTCAGATCTGATCTGTTGGTCATTGGATCACTTAGCTCTGTCTATTATTTGCTGGTTATGCTGTTTGACATGCAAGCAGTCCTGTTTTGTGGCTTCAACTTGATATCTCATTTTCGAGTATGCCTGGTACTGCTTCTGACATGCCCTTCTGCACTCTCCATTGAACCAAGGTTGATCCCCTGGCTTGATGACAATGGTTCAGTGGGGGTTATGCCAAGCCATGAGGTTGCAGATTGTGCTGGAGAAGTTTTGTTGTTGATGTCTTTCAAGACCCCAGTCTAGAGTTGCTAGATCTGCAAAGTCTGTTCCATTTAGCATTGTGATAGTACCACACAACATGATGTAGAGTATTCTCAATGTGAAGCGGTTATTGCTCCTACCAATACAGCATGGACAGATGCATCTGTAGCCAAAAGATTGGTAAGGATGGAGTCAAATATGTTTCTCCCACTTGTGGTGAGGGAACTAACCTGCCACAGATCCATTTTAGCAGCTCTATCCTTTAGATTATATGTTGAACCTGAAGCTATGAGACTCCATGAGGTTTGGAGTCAATGTTGAGGACACCCAGGGTAACTTCCTCCTGATTATATACCACTGTGTCGCCACCTCTGCTGGATCTGTCCTGCCAGCGGGATAGGACACATCGAGGAGGTTGTGATAGTGGTGTCTGAGCCATAGTCACACAGAATCGTACCTTACAGATAATGTAAGCTGTTGCTAGACAAGTCTGTGAAACAGCTCCCAATTTTGGTACGAGCCCCTAGATGTTAGTAAGGAGGACTTTGCAGGGTCTACAGGACTGTTTCTGCCCTTGTCATTTCCACTGCCTAGGTCACTGACAGGTGATCATCAGATTCCATTTCTTTGAGACTTTGTAGTAATTAATACAACTGAATGACTTGCTCGGCCATTTTAAAGGACAACCGAGTATCAGTCAAATTGTTGTGGGCCTGGGGACCTGGTGAGGATGGCATATTTCCTTCCCTGAAGGGCATTAGTGAATCAGGTTTATTTCCAACAATCAGGAATGGTTTTCATAGGCAACAGTAGATTCTTGATTCCAGATTTTTTTTATTGAATTCAAATACAATCATCAATTGTGACAGGATTCGAACCTGGTTCCCCAGGACATTAACTGAGATTCTGGGTTAATAGTGTAGAGGCAATACCACAAGGCTATCGCCTCCCCATTCATCTGCCCATATCCCTTTGTGACCACCTCCTATGTGACCTAACTTAGTTCAAAATTGAAAATAGTATGTAGCCACAGTGGCCAAAGCCTGAGTACTGATATGATCACATGCTGCACCCCTTTTATTGAAAATCTTAACATAAATAAATGTGAAAATTTGACCATACTGTGCCTCCTTGTTTTTTGCTATTTCTAGGGGCTGGGAACAGGTTGAAGTCACCTGCAGTCCATACCTAAAAGAAACCCCGAACTCATTGTGGAACATTGAGGACCATGTTAATGCTAAATGTAAGTGGGTACTACTGTAACTGTCATCATAGAACTCTTGTAATATCTGATCCTTGTTGTTTTGATCATTCAATACATAGCCCTTTAATAAAGGATTATGGATAAATATATACATCTATGTTTATAGAGCTATTTCTGTATTTGGACTGTTGTGCTCCTGTGCATGCAATCATGAGTAAATACTAAAACAGTTGTACCTAATACCTTTATGGAAATAATATATGCACATTGTTTCCAACCTCTTTCCAAGGATCTTAATAAAGATATTCAAGGCTCTCCCATGACATTGGATGGGGAAAAAGACGAATGATACTAAACAGCAGTGGGAATCAAAATTGAATTTTTTTTTTAAAGTGGCCCTTCAGCTCTCTCCATTCCACAATCTGAAAACCTGATGCTTAAGAGCACAGTATCTGAACTAGGATGCAGACAAGAGAAAATTGCAGAAGTAGGACAATTTGAATACATAGTAATTTATAAACCACTTTAACCATATAAACCATTGCATTGCCTCCTGACTCGTGCCTGGCAGGTGGTGGACAGGCTTTGGGGATTGAGGAGGAGAGTTACTTATCGCAGAAATCCCAGCTCTGATTTGCTCTTGCAACCAAAGGATTTAGATACAAAATAATCCAGCAAGGAACAGGAATTGAATGTTCAACCCTAAAGCCTCTGCTGTACTATTTATTGGCTTATCTGACATTAAGCACAAATCCGGATTCCCATGGGCCCCGATAACCTTTCACCTTCTCGCTCAGCAAGAACTTATCCACCTCTGCCTTAAAATATTCAAACTGCCTTTTGAGGAAGAGAGTTTCAAAGTCTCACTACCCTCTGTGAGAAAACATTTGGCCTAGTCTCTGTTTTAACTGGGTGACCTCTGATATTTGAACCGTGACCCTAGCTCTACATCTTCTCATAAAAGGGAAGATCATCTGCACATTTATTGTGACGAGGCCCCTTAGAATCTTTACATTTGAATCAAGTTGCCTGTTACTCTGCTAATCTCCAGTGGATACAACAGGAACAAAAACGAAGTTGCTGGAAAAATTCAGCAGGTCTGGCAGCATCTGTGAAGAAAAAAAGTTCTGAGGAAGGGTGACTGGACCCAAAACGTTAACTCTGTTTTTTCCTTCACAAATGCTGCCAGACCTGCTGAGCTTTTCCAGCAACTTTGTTTTTGTTCCTGATTCACAGCATCCACAGTTCTTTCGATTTTTTACCCAGTGGATACAAGCCTTGCATGTCCAACTGTTCCTCCTGAGACAATCCAGCATTTCAGATTTTAGCCTGGTAAACCTCTGAACTGTTTCCAATGCATTTAAATCCTTCCTTCAATAAGATAGCAAACGATGTGCACAGTACTCCAGATGTGGTCTTACCAGTGCCCTATAGAACTAGTCTCAGGGAAGAGCTATGTAATTATAATTAAGTTAACATGGTATGGCAGGGCTTTACACTTGACAAATGAGTAGAACACTGTAAAGAAATGGTTTCTGATGTGTAGCAGGGTCGAAGAAGGAAAGAGATTCAAGATATAAATAATTGCTTGGCTGTACAAAGCTTAAACGTTGCTAGAAGGAGGGAAGAAGTTGAAGCTTTTTGTTTTGATGAGTGCAATACAAGTAGGCGGGAAACAGACCTGAACAAAGGGATACCATCTTGTACAGCATGAGAAGAAGGTGCTGATTGGTTGGGCTACGATTGGCATGGAGATGCAGCAAGAATGGTTACCTATAAATCTTAATTCTCACATCAATCTACCATGACAATCTATAAGTCTGCCTAAGATTACTCTAGAAAGGGAAGCTGTCACAAAAATTTGAACAGATGAAGCTAGCTATCTCACTATGCAGTAAATCCATGATGGCTTTCTTCACTCACAGGATATTGCAGTCAGGCCAAAAAGGCACCCTGCCTACCACACAAATGAGTAGTATAGAATGTGTTGAGTGCCTGTGTGATGTCAGCTATGTAGGTTGTGTGTCCGAATGACTGGTAAACAGTATCAAACAGCATGTCCTGTAAACCATATAGAAGGGCAACAGGCCACTCATGCTCAGCCAGCCTGTGCTTGCAAGCCTCATAAATATATCCAATATAATTCTGCTATTGAACATCATTTACAAAAAAAAAAATCCGGGTTGTGCTAAGATTTACACCAGAAAACGATTGAAAATCATCAGTTTGGATTATAGTGTAATCATTTCCGCATGCCAGAGGCTACATTTTATAAATATAGTGGACACTGTTTTATGTAGGAATTTGTATGTACATTGTACCTTTTTTAAGCAAAAGAGTCTTGTGCTCAGCAAATCTCTGTTGAATCCCCATGACACCATTTCATCCAAATCATTTACAATGATATGGATGAAGGCGTGGAAGGGTGGATTTGTAAGTTTGCACGCAGTATGAAGGTGGGTCGAGTTGTGGACTGTGCAGAGGGCTGTTCCAGGTTACAAAGGGACATTGATAGGATGCAGAGCTGGGCTGAGAAGTGGCGGATGGAGGTTAACCCTGAAAAGTGTGAGGTGATTCATTTTGGAAGGACAAACTTGAAAGCAGAATACAGGGTTAATGGAAAGATTCTTGGCAGTGTGGAGGAGCAGAGGGATCTTTAGGTTCATGTCCACAGTTCCCTGAAAGCTGCCACCCAGGTGGATAGAGTTTTTAAGAAGGCGTTTGGAGTGCTAGCTTTCATTAATAGAGGGATTGAGTTCAAGAGCCGTGAAGTTATGCTCCAGCTATACAAAAGCCTGGTTCGGCCACATCTGGAGCATTGTGTCCAGTTCTGGTCGCCTCATTACAGAAAAGATGTGGAAGTGTTGGAAAAGGTGCAGAGGAGATTTACCAGGATGTTGCCTGGAATGGAGGGAAGGTCTTACGAGGAAAGGTTGAGAGAGCTAGGGCTTTTCTCTTTAGAACGACGAAGGATGAGAGGTGACTTGATAGAGGTGTACAAAATGATCAGAGGTATAGATAGAGTAGACAGCCAGAGACTTTTTCCTAGGGTAGAGGTAGCTATTACGAGGGGGCATAGTTTTAAAGTGAGTGGAGGTAGATATAGGGGAGACGTCAGATGTAGGTTCTTTACTCAGAGTGGTTGGGACGTGGAATGCATTACTGGAGCGGGTAGTGGAGTCGGCCTCATTAGGGGCATTTAAGCGGCTATTAGATAGGCATATGGATGATAGTATAAGGTAGGGGTGAAGGTTAGATAGACCTTAGGATTAGGGTAAAAGTTCGGTACAACATCTTGGGCCAAAACGTATGTACTGTGCTGTACTGTTCTATGTTCTGTGTTCTAACGCACTGACCAATCAAAATCGTCCTGCCTGGTCTGAAATTTAACATTGGCATGGAGATGCAGCAGGAACAATTAATTAACTGTCAATGGTAGCCCAACTGATCAGCACTCTTCATTGCAACTCAAATGGTGTCTTTCTTGTGTTCTAGTTCTGATGACTGTCAGATAAAAAGCTTCAAATTCTTCAAATTTTAAACTATCTGGGGGATGGAGGGGTTTTGGAACAAGGAAAAGAAATAGTCTAATTGTTTCAGAAATACTAGGGACTGCAGATGTTGGAGAATCTGAGATAACAAGGTGTAGAGCTGGATGAACACAGCAGGCCAAGCAGCATCAAAGGAGCAGGAAGGCTGACGTTTCGGGCCTAGACCCTTCATCAGAAAAGGGGGAGGGGAAGGGGGTTCTGAAATAAATAGGGAGAGAGGGGGAGGCGGATAGAAGATGGATATAGGAGAAGATAGGTGGAGAGGAGACACACAGGTCAAAGAGGCAGGGATGGAGCCAGTAAAGGTGAGTGTAGGTGGGGAGTTAGGGAGGGAATAGGTCAGTCCAGGGAAGACGGACAGGTCAAGGGGGCGGGGTGAGGTTAGTAGGTAGGAGATGGGGGTGGGGCTTGAGGTGGGAGGAAAGACAGGTTAGGGAAGCAGGGACGAGCTGGGCAGGTTTTAGGATGCAGTAGGGGGAGGGGAGATTTTGAAGCTTGTGAAGTCCACATTGATATCATTGGGCTGCAGGGTTCCCAAGCGGAATATGAGGTGCTGTTCCTGCAACCTTCGGGTGGCATCATTGTGACACTGCAGGAGGCCGAGGACGGACATGTCGTCTGAGGAATGGGAGGGGGAAGTTGAAATGGTTCGCGACTGGGAGGTGCAGTTGTTCAGTGCGAACCGAGCGTAGGTGTTCTGCAAAACGGTCCCCAAGCCTCCGCTTGGTTTCCCCGATGTAGAGGAGGCCACAACGGGAACAGCGGATACAGTATATCACATTATCAGATGTGCAGGTGAACATCTGCTTGACGTGGAAAGTTGTCTTGGGGCCTGGGATGGGGGTGAGGGGGTAGGTGTAGGGGCAGGTGTAGCACTTCCTGCGGTTGCAGGGAAAAGTGCCGGGTGAGGTGGGGCTGGAGAGGAGTGTGGAGCAGACAAGGGAGTCCCAGAGAGAGTGGTCCCTCCGGAAAGCAGATAAGGGTGGGGAGGGAAAAATGTCTTTGGTGGTGGGGTCGGATTGCAGATGGCAGAAGTGTTGGAGGATGATGCGTTGGATCCGGAGGTTGGTGGGGTGGTATGTGAGGACGAGGGGGATTCTGTTTTGGTTGTTTTTGCGGGGAGGGGGTGTGAGGGATGAGTTGCGGGAAATGCGGGAGACGTGGTCGAGGGCGTTCTCGACCACTGAGTGGGGGAAGTTGCGGTCCTTGAAAAACAAGGACACCTGAGATATACGGGAGTGGAATGCCTCATCTCGGGAGCAGATGCGGCGGAGGCGAAGGAATTGGGAATAGTGGATGGCATTTTTGCAGGAAGGTGGGTGGGAGGAGGTGTATTCTAGGTAGCTGTGGGAGTCTGTCGGCTTGAAATGGATATCGGTTTCCAGGTGGTTGCCAGAGATGGAGACAGAGAGGTCCAGGAAGGAGAGAGAGGCATCAGAGATGGTCCAGGTGAACTTAAGGTTGGGGTGGAAGGTGTTGGTGAAGTGGATGAACTGTTCAAGCTCCTCGTGGGAGCACAAGGCGGCACCGATACAGTCACCAATGTAACAGAGGAAGAGGTGGGGTTTAGGGCCAGTGTAGCTATGGAAGAGGGATTGTTCCACGTAACCTACAAAGAGGCAGGCATAGCTTGGGCCCATGCGGGTACACATGGCCACCCCCTTTGTCGGAAGTGGGAGGAATTGAAAGAGAAGTTGTTGAGGGTGAGGATGAGTTTGGCTAAGCGGATGAGGGTGCCAGTGGGGGGGACTGGTCGCACCGGCGGGACAGGAAGAAGCAGAGGGCCTTTAGGCCATCTGTATGGGGAATGCAGGTGTGTAGGGACTGGACGTCCATGGTAAAGATGAGGTGTTGGGGACCGGGAAATTGGAAGTTTTAGAGGAGGTGGAGGGCGTGGGTGGTGTCACGGACGTAGGTAGGGAGTTCCTGGACCAAGGGGGAGAAAATGGAGTCGAGATAGGTGGAGATAAGGACGCCAGGCGCCAAATCTCCGACACCACCTCCTACCGCCCCCTTGATCATGACGCCACCCCCGACCACCAAACCATCATCTCCCAACCATGCACAACCTCATCACCTCAGGTGACCTCCCACCCACAGCCTCCAACCTCATCGTTCCCCAACCCCGCACCGCCCGCTTCTATCTCCTTCCCAAAATCCCCAAACCTGATTGCCCTGGTTAACCCATTGTCTCCGCCTGCTCCTGCCCCACCGAACTTATCTCCACCTACCTCGACTCCATTTTCTCCCCCTTGGTCCAGGAACTCCCTACCTACATCCGTGACACCACCCATGCCCTCCACCCTCTCCAAAACTTCCAATTTCCCGGTCCCCAACACCTCATCTTTACCGTGGATGTCCAGTCCCTGTACACCTGCATTCCCCATGCAGATGGCCTGACGGCCCTCCGCTTCTTCCTGTCCCGCAGGCCCGACCAGTCCCCCTCCACTGACACCCTCATTCGCTTAGCCGAATTTGTCCTCGCCCTCAACGACTTCTCTTTCAGTTCCTCCCACTTCCTACAAAGTGGGTGGCCATGGGTACACGCATGGGCCCAAGCTATGCCTGCCTCTTTGTAGGTTACGTGGAACAATCCCTCTTCCGTAGCTACACTGGCCCCAAACCCCACCTCTTCCTCCGTTACGTTGATGACTGTATTGGCGCCGCCTCGTGCTCCCACGAGAACCTCAAACAGTTCATCCACTTCAACAACACCTTCCACCCCAACCTTAAGTTCACCTGGACCATCTCTGATGCCTCTCTCTCCTTCCTGGACCTCTCTATTTCCATCTCTGGCAACCACCTGGATACCGATTTCAAGCCCACTGACTCCCACAGCTACCTAGAATACACCTCCTCCCACCCACCTTCCTGCAAAAATGCTATCCCCTATTCCCAATTCCTTCACCTCCGCCGCGTCTGCTCCCAGGATGAGGCATTCCACTCCCGTACATCTCAGATGTCCTCGTTTTTCAAGGACCGCAACTTCCCCCCTCAGTGGTCAAGAACGCCCTCGACCGTTTCTACCACATTTCCCGCAACTCATCCCTCACACCCCCTCCCCGCAATAACAACCAAAACAGAATCCCCCTCATCCTCACGTACCACCCCACCAACCTCCAGATCCAACGCATCATCCTCCGACACTTCCGCCATCTGCAGTCCGACCCCACCACCAAAGACGTCTTTCCCTCCCCACCCTTATCTGCTTTCCGGAGGGACCACTCTCTCCGGGACTCCCTTGTCCGCTCCACACTCCTCTCCAGCCCCACCTCACCTGGCATTTTTCCCTGCAACCGCAGGAAGTGCTACACCTGCCCCTACACCTATCCCCTCACCCCCATCCCAGGCCCCAAGAAGACTTTCCACATCAAGCAGATGTTCATGTGCACATCTGTTAATGTGGTATACTGTATCCCCTGTTCCCGTTGTGGCCTCCTCTACATCAGGGAAACCAAGCGGAGGCTTGGGGACCGCTTTGCAGAACACCTACGCTCGGTTTGCACTGAACAACTGCACCTCCCAGTTGCAAACCATTTCAACTTCCCCCTCCCGTTCCTCAAATGACATGTCCATCCCGGGCCTCCTCCAGTGCCACAACGATGCCATATTCCTGCAGCCCAATGATATCAATGTGGACTTCACAAGCTTCAAAATCTCCCCTCCCCCTACCGCATCCCAAAACCAGCCCAGCCTGTCCCCACCTCCCTAACCTGTCCTTCCTCCCACCTATCCCCTCCTCCCACCTCAAGCTCCACCCCCACCTCCTACCTACTAACCTCATCCCGCCCCCTTGACCTGTCCGTCCTCCCTGGACTGACCTATCCCCTCCCTAACTCCCCACCTACACTCACCTTTACTGGCTCCATCTCCGCCTCTTTGACCAGTCTGTCTCCTATCCACCTATATTCTCCTATATCCATCTTCTATCCACATGCCCCCGCTCTCCCTATTTATTTCAGAACCCCCTTCCCCTCCCCCATTTCTGAAGAAGGGTCTAGGCCCGAAACGTCAGCCTTCCTGCTCCTCTGATGCTGCTTGGCCTTCTGTGTTCATCCAGCGCTACACCTTGTTATCTCAAATCGTCTCATTGTTGTGATCTGGAATGCATTTTCTGAAAGCTAGTAGATGCAACAAGAAGATGCAGTCATTTCTGCTGATGCCCAGCACAGGCATGATGGGCCAAATGTCATACTTTTGTGCTATGTGATTTTATATTAAAAATGTTCCATATTCTCACCTTTTCACATAATTTGTGCCCTGTTCCTTTCCACGTCTGCACCTTCTCCCAGATTTTATCCTTCCTGTCGCTGTGGTCTGAATTATTGATGTCTGCCAAAGTACACTTCTCCTGTCCCACTGCTTGGATTGTTAGAAGTTTCCTCCAAAACCTTTTTTTACCTTGTCCTCTCTTATTTAAAAGTGTACTGCTTCAAGACTCTCTTGTCCCTGGCCTTAGGTCACTTACCACTATGTAATAAGTGGAGTGCCACAGAGATCAGTGCTGGGTCTACAACAATTTGCAATATATTTTAATGACTTAAATGGGGAAAGTGTAAGTAATAGCATTTTTTTTGTCATCCACAGCTTGGCGGGAAGGCAAGTGGCAAGGATGACAGAGCCTGCAGTGGGACATAGATTAAGCGAGTGGGCAAATGCTTGGCAGATGGAATATGATGTGGGAAAGTATTGGATTATTCACTTTATTAGGAAGAATACCGGAACTGAAGACTGTATAAGTGGTGAAAGACAGCAGAAAGCTGCAGCTCACTGGGTTTAGATCCTTATACGTAAATCTCAAAAAGCTAGCTTATAGATAATAGGGAAAGTGAATGGAATGCTGGCCTTTGTATCAAAGGATATGGAGGGTAGGGAAGTCGTATTAAAACAATACAAGGCACCAGTCAGAATAAGGCTGGAATACTGTGAACAATTTCGGTCCCTTTACCTAAGGAAAGATTTATTGGCATTGCAGGCAGTCCAGAGAAGGTTCACTAGACTGATTCCAGATGTGGAGTGATGATTTTATTGAGTCTGCTCCACCTTTCAATGAGCTGATTGACCTCTTTTGGTCGTACATCCTATGATCTTACTCAAGCATTCGTGGTTTACTATGCTTTTTAACCAATATCCTAAGACATGATCAAGTTATTTCTTTCTTGCATGCAATATAGTTTGCCAATCATTCTACTGATGATGTGCTAAAACATGAGGGTATAAATGTTTAAGTTTGTGGTTAGGGGTGCCTATTATTGTGGATTGCTTAGTATTCTTTGGTATTGATATTGTCGTTGGAGCAGCACTTATCCAGATATGCGGAGCCTATTCCATCATGCTCCTGATTTGTGTCTTATAGATGGTGGATAGGCTTCCGAGAGTTCATAAAACACTATCAGCCTCTGATGTGTTCGACATGGCCATAGTATTTATATAGCCACTATTGCCTCATCTCTTTATTTCATCTCTCTTGTGCATGTTTGGACCCAAGGTTATATCGAAGTCAGGAGCTGAGTGGCCTTAACGTGCTCAGTTTGTGTTGAGCCATGATTGAGCAAGTGCCACTTAATAGCACTGTCCCCATTTCTTATATTGATGATTGACCATAAATTGTTGGGGCAGCAATTGGCTGTGTCGGGTTTATTCTGCCTTTTTCTGGGTTGTTTTTGGACGCTAATTTTCGAACAATGTAATGAACCCTTTCTCATTGCAGTGCCCAATATCAGCCTTGAGGTCCTGAAACCGTCATTCCCAGAGATCCTACTTGAATCGCATGTCGTCATGATCCGGGTCAGTACATCTCCTCAATGTAAATGTGAAATCAGAAAACCTGATTGCAATTTTTTATAGTCCAGAGAATTGAATAATCCCCCTTTTTTTTCATTTGCTGTATCTCTTGAGCTTCCAGTGTGCACTTGCTGGCATTCTGCCCTCCTCTGCATGCAGGTTCCTTTCCCTGCTTCAATTTGTGCATATCTCTGTTGGAGGAGTTCAGATTTGGCTCAGCAAATTATATTGGGACAAACTGTACAGAGTAGACCGATAACTAGCAGGTTTGAATTTCTCACTTCCATAAATAATTGCAGAAAATCGAAAAGGAAAAATAATACAAAATGCAATTGTTTGATTGCAGGTTTATAAAGATTAAAGAATATAATTGATGTAGTGCAAAGTATCCTGATATGTTAATAAACAATATGTGTTATGTAGTTGATTAAGCTTAGTGAACATAATGGAGATACAATTATGTATTTGGTACAGTTTATGGTGTCTTCACGTAGGTGGCTTTATCATTAATTTGGTACAACAGGATAAAATATTTTTGATTTCAAGGACATACAAACCACTCTCTGTGTAAAGAAGTTGTCCTTTGCCGCCTCTTTTTTTTAAAAGAGGAAGTAGTGGATGCGAAGACATTTAGAACATTTAGAAGACATTTGTATGAGTACATGAATAGGAAAGGTTTGGAGGGACAAAAATAGAAATTGCTGGATAAGCTCAGCAGGTATGACAGTATCTGTGGAGAGAAATCAGAGTTAACGTTTCGGGTCGAGTGACCCTTCCTCGGGGTTCTCCATAGAATAGAATCTACGGAATCACTTCAGTGCGGAAACAGGGCATTTGGCCCAACAAATCCACACCGACCCTCCAAAGACCATCCCATCCTCTACCCTAACCCTGTAACCCTGCATTTCCTACAGCTAACCCACCTAACCTATGCATCCCTATACGCTATGGGCAATTTAGCATGGCCAATCCACTTACCCTGCACATCTTTGGACTGTGGGAGGAAACTGGAGCACCCGGAGGAAACCCATGTAGACACTGAGAGAATGTGTAAACTCCACACAGAGAAATTACCCGAAGGTGGAATCGAACCCGGGTTCCTGGCACTGAGGCAGCAGTGCTAACCGTGGAGCCACCGTGCCGCCTGTGTTCTGAGGAAGGGTCACTCAATGTGAAACATTTAACTCTGATTTCCCTGCACAGATGATGCCAGACCTGCTGAGCTTATCCAGCAACTTCTATTTTTGTCTCTGATTTACAGCATCCGCAGTTCTTTCGGTTTTTATTAAGGTTTGGAGGGATATGGGCCAAGCGCAGGCAGGTGGGATTAGTTTAGTTTGAGAACGTGGTTGGCATGGACTGATTGGACCGGGGGGTTTTTTTCCATGCTGTATGACTCTGACTCTTACTGAGCTTTACTTCAGGGCAGCTACTTGATTTTCGATAGACTGCTTTTTGATAGTAGCACTATTTGTTGTAATTCTGTTAACATTTGGGTATTTCGGATTGCGTGAAGCAAATCAGAGAAGAATTTGTCAATATCTACAATAATACTCAATACTCCATTAAAATTGAAGCCATAACACACAAGGGAAACATAAATTTCCAAGACAATACTTTATTCAAAATTGCACAAAATAACAGACACAGGTAAGTGAGAGTTAGGAGTGTAACAGAATACTGCCCACTTGCCTGGATGGATGCAGCTCTAACACTCAAAAAGCTTGATACCATCCAGAACAAAGCAGCCCACTCGATTGGCACCGCATCCACAAACATCTACTCACTCCAGTAGCAGTGTTTACTTTTGACAAGATGCATTGCAGAAATTCACCAAAGATCATTAGACAGCACCTTCCAAATCCACAACCACTAGCATCTAGAAGGACAAGGGCAACAATTGCATGGGAGCACAACTACCTGCAAGTTTCCCACCAAGTCACTCACCGTCCTGACTTGGAAATACTGTCTCCCTTCCTTCAGTGTCGCTGGCTCAGAATCCTGGAAATGCCTCCCAAAGGGCATTGTGGGTCAACCTACAGCACAAGGACTGCAACGGTTCAAGAAGGCAGCTCACCACCGCCTTCTGAAGTGTAAATAAGAATGTGCAACAAACACTGGCCCAGCCAGCGTCCATGTCCTGCATGTAAATGAAATAAGTGATTGAGGTGTTTTTTTTTTTTTTTCAAAAATTATCAATGTACCTCCACACAAAATAATCTTTCACCCTAAACATGCCTTCTGCTGAGTTGTGACATCACAGCTAATATATTTCCATTGCATTTGTGCAAAGCTGGAACATTTTAACTATGCAGTTAGAACCTTTTATCAGTTGGCTGAATGCCTTGGTTCAGTGTAGAGATGCCATCAGTATGGGTTCAATTCCCACACTAGCTAAGGTTACCCTGAGGGATTCTCCTCCTCAACCTCTTTCCTTGCGTGAGGCCTGGTGACTCCCGGGTTAAACCACACCAGTCATCTCTCTAATGAGAGAACAGCCCCGTGGTCTGGTAAGACTATGGAGACTTTACCTTTGCCCGTTACTTTTTTATACTGCTTCTCTAATTTCAATCCCAGATTTAAATATAACAGACGATGCTGTTCATTGCAACAGCATGCAATATATTTTTCAACCCACCCCCCTTCCCACTAATGTTGTTCCTGAAAATACCCAACCTTAAGCTAGGAGTTCCATATTCATTTTCAAGTAGTTTATTACCAAATTTTCCAGGCTCCCAGTTCATTGAGTATTCCTTAAGTGATAAGTTTAAAACTGTCCTCTCTCTCCTTTGCAGCCTCCTTCCCACATTGCAACTCATTCTTGTACTAACCTTGCAGCTTCCTTCTTTCCTGCCTCCCCGACCTCTCCACAATAACTGTCTCCCCCCCTCTTCCCTGCACCCTTTTCTTCCAAATTCCCACCCTGTCCACAGTATCTACACCCCACAGCTTCCAAAAATCAACTCCTCCCGCAGCTGCCTCCTTCAGAATCCCTCCCAAGACCTTCCATCCCATTAACAAACTCAGCACAAACTTTACAGCTGCTCTTCCAATTAAAGGTGGTTCTCTTCTGTGTACAATGAGCCTATTGAAATTACTCCCCAGGGGCTGGTATCCTGTCACCAAGTCACATTTTATTTACCTGAGCATAGTACTTGACATTGATCCAGCTTCCTTAAAGCCAGCTCCGAGTGAGCAGAGCTTCTGACACTCCTGTTTATGATATGGCGGTGCCGGTGTTGGACTACCTGCCTATCTGATCAAAGAACACATCCATCAACTGAACAGACTGGTCAAGACTTTGGATCCAGTCCTTCAGAGTACCCTATACACACTCATCCCACGTACTTCCCGCGTAGGGGACTTCTACTACCTTCCAAAAATACACAAAGCCAACACACCTGGACGTCCCATCGTATCAGGCAATGGGACCCTGCGTGAGAACCTCTCTGGCTATGTCGAGGGCATCTTAAAACCCGTTGTGCATTGAACCCCCAGCTTCTGTTGCAACACTACAGATTTCTTACAGAAACTCAGCACCCACGGACCAGACGGACCAGGCGAACCAGGAACACTCCTCGTCACAGTGGACATTTCGGGACTCTACACCAGCATCCCCCATGATGGTGCCATCACTGCAATAACCTCAGTACTCAATACCACCAACTGCCAATTTCCAGATGCCATCCTACAACATATCCGCTTCATCCTCGACCTTAACGTCTTCACCTTCATAACCAGTTCTTTGTGCAGACATACGGAACAGCCATGGGGACCAGATTTGTTCCCCAATATGTCAACACTTTCATGCACAGGTTCGAACAAGATTTCTTTGCTGCACAGAACCTCTGACCAATACTATGCACCAGATACATTGACGACATTTTCTTCCTTTGGACTCATGGTGAGGAATCACTGAAACAGCTACATAGTGATATCAACAAGTTTCGTCCCACAGTCAGACTTATCATGGACTACTCTTTAGAATCCGTCTCATTCTTGAGCAGCCACATCTCCATTGGGGACAGACACCTCCGTCCATCACTCTACCACAAGCCTACGGATAACCATACGATGCTGCACTTCTCTAGCTTCCACCCGAAACATATTAAAAGAGCCAATCCCTACAGACAAAGCCTTATGCACACATAGAATCTGTTTGGATGAGGAGGAACGAGACGGACACCTGAAGGTGTTGAAGGACGCCATCATAGGAACAGGATACGATGCTCAACTCAATGATCGCCATTTCTAGCATGCCATGACGCAAAACTGTAATGACCTCCTCAGAAGACAGGCACAGGATATGTCCAGTTGGGTGCCCTTCATCGTCCAGTACTTCCTGGGAGCAGATAAACTACACCATGTTCTTCGCAGCCTTCAACACATTATCGATGACGATGAGCATCTCGCCAAGATCTTCCCCACGCCTCTACTTCTCGCCTTCAAACAATCGCCAATCCTTAAACAGATCATTGTTTGCAGCAAGCTACCCAGTCTTCAGGACAATATCGACCACAACACTCTACAACGCTGTCATGGTAACCTCTAAGACATGTCAGATCTTCGAAACAGAAACTACCATTGCGCGTAGGAACACCACCCACCATGCGTATGTCGGATACTCGTGTGACTTGGCCAACGTTGTCTATCCAGTACACTGCAGGCATGGATGTCCCAAGGCGTGGTACATTGGTGAAACCATGCAGATGCTACAACAACAGATGAAAGGACACTGTGCAACAATCGCCAGACAGGGATGTTCCCTCCCAGTGGGGGAACACTTCAGCAGTCAAGGACATTCGACCTCTGATCTTTGTGTAAAAGTCCTACAAGGCGGACTTTGAGATACACGACAACACAGAGTCGTTAAGTCGAGGCTGATAGCCAAGTTTGGTACCCATGAGGACAGCATCAACTGGGATCTTGGATTCATGTCACACTACAGGTGACCCCACCACACTATACACTCTCACGTGCGTATACACACACACACACACACACACACACACACACACACACACACACACACACACACACACACACACAAACACACA